GGAGCACTGGGTGTTGTGCACGAACAATGAATCATGGAACACTTCATCTAGAACTAATGATGTAATGTATGGGGATTAACATAAGAATAAAAAAAAAAATTGGAAAAAAAAAAAAAATTAAACTTCCAGAGATGAAAAAAACAATTCTGACATAAAAAATACTGTGGATGGGGTTAACACTGCCAAAGGAAAGAAGAGCGAACTTGAAGATATATCAAAAGATGTATTAAAATGAACAGAGCACCAACAGTTAGCTGTGGAACAACGTCAAGCAACTTAACATATGTTCAATTGGCGTCCCCAATTTTTTTCTTAGGGAACCAAGGAGGTATAGGGAAAAAAAGACAAAATAGAGGTTTTCTTTTTTTTTTTTTTTTAAGATTTTATTTATTTGAGAGAGAGAGAGAGAGAGATCGCACAAGTTGGGTGAGGGACACAGGGAGAAGCAGGCTCCGCTGAGCAGGGAGCCTGACACAGGGAGCCCAACTTGGGGATCATGACCTGAGCCAAAGGCAGAAGCTTAACCGACTGAGCTACCCAGGCATCCCAAAATAGAGACTTTCATAGTGAAGCTTGTGAAATGATGGGGGAAACTAAGGGAACAGAAAACCGAGACCTTAGAATTACACAAGAGTGTAACAGCAGGAGAGCACAGGTACTATAAAAGGATTAGTTGGGGCAGGATGGAGTGCTTACCACTCTTTGGATTTCCATAGAGGGAAGAAAATGTTCACTTTCTTGGGTTGGGGGACAAAGTCAACAGTCCTTGATAGGAAAAGAAAGGAAAATCTTCATGCCCTGGTTTGGCCTTAAAATGTCCTTTTCCCTATAGTCTTTCCAAAGAATCTTCAGTAACATCTAGTTGGTGCACATAAATGCTTAAGCTTTTCTTACTTTTTCCGTAAGGGAAGTACTAATATGGAAGGTAGGAAAGTACTTTTTTAAACATTTATTTATTTGAGAGTGAGTGAGAGAGAGAGGATGAACGGGGGGAAGGTCAGAGGGGGAGGGAGAAGCAGGCTCCCTGCTGAGCAGGGAGCTGGACACTGGCCTAGGACCCTGAGATCATGACCTGAGCTAAAGGCAGACACTTAACAACTGAACCACCCAGGTGCCCCTAATTTTAAAATTAAAAAAAAAAAATTTTAATTAAAAAAATTTTTTAAGTAAGTTCTACACCCAACGTGGGGCTTGAACTCACGACCCCAAAAGCAAGAGTCACATGCTCTACCAACTGAGCCACGCAGGCTCCAGTTCATGTATCTTTGTAACTTATTTTACCAGTTAGGCATAATTATATTTCAGAGGAAATGTACCTCTTGAAACCTCTGAATTCTTTAAAAGAACAAGGACACTCAAGTTAATTTTTTAGTGTCTAGCTATACTCACAAAGTATATGATAGCTGAAAAAAAATGCTACAAACTAGGAGATGTAATGGCACAAATAATGGTGAAATCAGAGCAGAGATGGGGAAAACATATGGCACTTATAATTAAATGTACTTCTACGAAGAAATTTGTTTTAACATGTGTTTATGACTGCCAATAATATATTACGGGGGGAAAAGGAGTACTCACCTGGCAAAAACAGGAATTGTTAGTCTCTTCAAATGTGAAATTACTTGTGAAATTACTTTTGAAATACAGAGGTGCAAACTTAATCAAGATCATCAGAGAACAGCTATAAAAATCTAGTTACCTATTTCACCTGTAGGAAAAGACAAGCAGATAAAGCCATTAGAATTCAGAAGCCCTTGGGTTAAGACAGTTTAATATTAAGAAATGTTTAAAAAACAGTATTTCTTTTCAAGCCGGGCCCCCAAAATTTGGCAGAGTAATGCAGTCCTCATTCTTTTTCACTAAAAAGCTCATTTCTCCACTTTTAGGTAATGTGGTTAATTTTAACATAGTTGGAGGGCCAAAAATATTACACCTGGTTAAATTAGTGTTCCAAGACTGAAGGCTCCTACTCGGGAGAAGACAAATGTAAATGGTATTAAACAGGCAAACAATCGATACAATATTAAATATCAAGTGAGATAGTATACCCTTTCCTCTTTTGTTAATCATCACCAGTTTTTCTGGAAAGGGGTTTCGGAGAAGAACTGGCATGTGGAGAAGGAATACCAGTCAGGAATTTGCGCCTTTTCATTGCTAATTCTGCCACTTCCCGATTCAACCATGATAGAATCATGCAGGGCGGTCGTGGGTTCGCTGGCTCCGCAGGCTGCAGGCGCTTACCCGAACAGAACTGCTCTCTTCCGAGAGGATGCAGCAGCAGAACCCGACCTAGGAGACTCCCCGAAAACCGGCTTCTGGCTACGGCAGGAGAGCTCAACAACCTCCCAGTGCCCAAAAGCAGCTCTAGGGAGTAACGAGTTCACTGAACTTGGGTCCAAAACGGTACCGTATCCCTAGGGAAAAAAAATGCCACAAAGCTGCAATAGTGAAGCAGCAGGTGTTCTAAAGCCGAAGGAAGGAGGCAGGAGGAGATACAGCCCTGCGCATGCGTGTTCTATGTGGGTGCGGCGGCAGCAGGCAGGGAGTAAGAATTAAGTGGTGAAGAAGGGGGCAGCGGCTGGTTACTAGGAGACGGGACGCTCGTGTGGGACGTCTAAGCGCTGCGTGGGCGTACGCCTGCGCGGCGCGGATGGACCAGGAAGAGGCCTCTACTACGCGCCCTGTAAGGCGAGCAGGTGGACGTACGCGTCTCTACGTGCGTGGGTGCGCACGCACGGCTTGTAGTCCCCGCGAGAGGGAGGGTCGAGCCAGGTACGCGTGCGCACGGGAACTAGGGGCGCGCGGGACGGAAGCGGAGCGAAGGCGCCGGGGAGGTGGAGGACGAGCCCCCCTCAGGTACAGAGCGTGAGGGCGGGGCCGACGGCTGCGCCGACGGGCGCTAACCGCCCCCGCCTCCTTCCCTCCGGGTCCCGCCTTCCTCTGCCTCCGCTGGGGTGGGGCCAGGTCGATTTGGGGGTGGGAGGGGAGGGGAAAGGGGCGGAGGATGGAGACCGAGAGGGACCTGGATCCCTGGCGCAGGTCAAAGCTTGCTAGTCGTCGAGATGAGTTCCGGGGTGGATGACGGGCCCAGAAACCCTGGGAGGGACTCGGAGCTCCAGGTAGAGGCAGCAGGGATGCGCCGGGTTGGGATAAAGCAGCTCCTGGATCGGAAGGCCCTGCAACAGGGCAGGTGTGACGGGGGTTAGGGGCTGTGGGTGATCCCTGAGGTGGGAATTCACTGCTTGACCGGCTGTGAGGGACGGTAGTGGGCAGAGTTGCGTCCAGGGAAGCCCTCCAGGAGCAAACTTTGCCGCTGTTGTTGTTTCTTGGGCGTTTAGGGTTGAGCCCAGTTCCTATGGTGACCGCTTCGTTTCCTGCCGCAGCTCTCCGCTTGGTTGTTGGGGGGACTGTTCTGTTTGGAAACGCCTGGAGTGGAGGTGAGGAATTTGGAAGTCAGAGATTTGGGAGTTCAACCTGTCTTCCTGAATCCCCGCCTCTCACTTCTAAGCCTCTTTATAGACTTTGGGAGGGGAAGGGCCGAGATTACGTAGGTATTTGCATGAAAATCTCATATAATTTCAGTAGAAATTATACACAGGAAAGGCAGTTAGGTAAACTGGGTTTGTTTGAAAACACGTTTGAGACTAAAGTTGAATAATCGCGGCGATTATGGACCTGATACCTAAATACGCATAGGAATACTTTGTTATTGGTTTTTTTTTTTTTAAAGATTTTATTTTTTGTGAGGGAGAGAGAGCACACAAGCGGGGGGAGGGGCAGAGGGAGAAGCTGACTCCCCATTGAGCAGGGAGCCCGATGGTATAGTCAAGGATTAGGGCTTCAAGAACGAGTTGCATAGATGGCATAGCCCCAGTGTTTCCCTTCTTCCATTCCAGGCCCTTATATCGCAGGATATTCGTTGTTTTAAATTTCCTCCACTGGTTTTCTGTATTTAAAGTACACTTTTTTTTAACCTGTAAGAAAATAAATAGACTAATTGGTTTATAACTAGAAGAAACTAGGTTAGTTATAAACATAAATGGAAAGTGTCACATTCAAATCTGCCTTCAGGATAAAACTGATTCTTGTTTGTATCTTAATTGTTCAAGGAACGAAACCATTCAATTTTAATTAGTGAGAAATAACTAGGAAGGTATATTAATGAAATATTTATTGTAAACAATAAATTTTGGCATTATTTAATGGCAGCTTGCAAAATATGTCTTATTTTGTTTATTGTCTGAAAAAGTCACTGCTTATAGTCCAGCATAGAATCAGATGTAGAGATTCTGTTGGCTCCTTTTCTGTCTTCTTTTTTAGTTGCTCAGATCAGTTTTAGGGTAATTTGCTTTTAGAGTATTCCATACACAGAGACAGAGCAGGTGTTATTATTTATTCTCTTTTCTCATCACATGCTCCCTCTTCTCCCCAGATGTAGCCACCATCCTGATTTCTATGATAACCACTTCCTTGCTTTTCCCTAGAGTTTCGCCGTCTTTGTATGTGAACATGCACATTCTAGTTTGGCTTGTTTTTGAACTTTATATAAATGGAATTGTAGTAAATATTCCTTTCTAGTTTGCTTCTTTACTCAACGTTATGTTTTTAAGATTTATCCTTGTTGCTTATCGTTAGTTTGTTGTTTAGTGTTTAGCTACTCTACTATTAAAGTTTTTAGAGTTTTTGGTAAACATGAACCACTGCTGTGGACTTTCTCATACATGTACCCCATGATAATCTTTTGAATTAAGCTAGTTAGTAAGGTAGTTCGATTTGTCTTAGTTATGGGATTAACATCAGTTTATTATTAATATCTTTTAGTTCAGGAAAGCCTCTTGAAAACAACTCCTTAACCCCTTATGTTTCTTAGAGGTCTTGATAAATGATCACTTTTCCTAAGGCCATTGTTTTATGCTCCTTTAAAAAGACAAGTTATTTCTTTATAGAATAGTCTGGATTGAAGAGAAGTAAGGAGCTTGAATTTGGTTGGATAACTGGAGAGATTATTTCTTTTTCATAAGAAGGGTTAAGCATTGTGTTTTTACTGTTTTGTTTGAAGTGAATTCCCAAAATTTTTTTTTCACTTATTTTTATAATACAAAAACCTATCTCAAAATTATTCATAAAACTGTGTGGTTTTCTACATCTTTCTGTTAGTGAGGCTATTCCTTCCTACTTCAAAGTATCTGTCAGTATAAACTTTTGGAGACAGTTTTATAAAAAGAAAACAAGTTGATTTTTTTGTGGAACCAGATTTCAGAATCCCATATAAAATACTCCAGTATTTTTAATTATCCTACCAAAATATTTGGTGACATTTGTTGAGCATGTATTATATGTATGATATTTTGCTCAAGATTGATATTTTTTTCTTTTTAGCACATGATCTTACCTCCTATTTCATTAAAAATGAAAATTCTACCAGGCAGGACCTTCTTCAAATTTCTACCCCTTCTTATCTAAATCTTCACCTGACCTTGCTTTCCTCTTTCTAGTCTCAAAGGACAGTGCACATGCCGTTTATTTGGGTTTCCTTTTATTGGCTCAGTGTCCTTTCTCCATTAGTTATCATTAACCCATGTCTTAGGAATCTTCGATGTGTTTATACTGTAGGGCTTCTTAATCTAGAGCACAAGAACTTTAGGGAGTTCTTCAACCCCCTGAAATTGTAAAGTTTTGTATGTGTTTTTATTTTACTGAGGGGAGGACTCAGGGCTTTTGTTTAATTCTGAAGGGAATCCTTGATATAAAGAGAATTAAGAAACAAGTTTTTCTCTTTTGTAACAACCCTTCAACAACAGTAGTCTTCTATCTTTTGCTCTACTTCTCATCTCACAATCATGCTTTCTAAAAGAAGTCTACATGTTCTATTTCCTTTAGTTCATTACTCATTTATTAGTCCTCTTTAAATGTGCTTCTACCCCATCTGCACCATTGAAACTACTTTGTTCAAATCATCAAAATTTTGTTATTTTTCAGAATGTTCTATTGACCACCAACTTTGTGCTGGGCACTTCTGTAGGCATTAGAGATATAACAGTGACCAGACAAAAGCCTAGATCTCTTGGAGTTTACATTCTAGTAGTGGGGAGACAGACAATAAACAAGTGAAAAAATAAATGATATAATTTCAAATAGTGTTAAGTGCAAATAACCTGATGAGAGAGTATCTAGGAGAGAGGCTACCTTTGGGTAAGAGGTCAGGGAAGATGTGCTGACTTTGAGCCAGAGAAGGAGCCAGCCATGCCCAGGGCTGGGAGAGTGTTCCAAAGAGAGGGAAAGCAAGGACAGAGACCTTGAAGTGGAATGAGATTGGCACAGTGGAGGAACGGAAAGAAAACCAATAAAGCTGATGGGTGAAACAGAGTACTAGATCTATTTAGGGAAGTGAAGGCAGGGGCCAAATTATGTAGGACCTTAAAAATTTTCGATTTTTATTCTAATTGCAGTGGGAAGCCATTGGAGTGTTTTGAGCAGGATCTCATGATTTTAAAGTGATAGTTTTGATTTCAATTTGGAAAAAAGTTGTGGGGAGCAATAGTAGAAGCATGAAGACCACTTAGGGAACTGTTCCAGTAAAGGTGTGGGAGATGAATATGGAGGTGGTAATAAGCATGTTGAGAAGTGGATGGATTTGGGAAATATTTTAGAGGTAGAACTGACAGGGTTCATTGTTGGGGGTTAGGGAAAGAGGAAACAAAGACAATCCCTTGGGCACTGCACAAATGATGATGCATTTGACATGGGAAAGACTGGGAAGGAATGCAGTGGAGGCAGGGTTGAGAGCAGGAGTGCAAGTGGGGGGCTTAAGAGGTCTGTTTTAGACATGTTAAAGTTGTGATGGCTCTGGACATTCAGTAGACACAATACAGTGTGTTAAGTGCTCCAGTAGGAGTATATTCATAGTTTTGGGGGAATATGGAAAATATATCCTAAGTCTGTTTTGGGGGAAGTTGAAGTCAAAACCACTTTTTTTTGTTATCTTTTTCTCTATATTTTCTTAGCATACATGTGCACATGTGCATTCCTCTGATATGGCACTAATTATGTTGTACTGTAATTTCTGATTTATTTGTTCTGGACTTCCCTAGAGCCACTGAGGGTTGAGATTGTAGGTTTTTATTTGTTTTCCATGTTTCTTTTATTTTCTTTTTTTTAAGAGAAAGAGAAAGAGAGAGAAAGGAGGGGAGGGGTAGAGTGAGAGGGAGAGAGGCTGTCAAGCTGCGGAGTCCGACATGGGGCTCGATCACACAACCCTGAGATCATGACCTGAGCTGAAATCAAGAGTCAGATGCTTAACCTGCTGAGCCACCCGGGCACACCTGTTTTCCATCTTTCTATCCCCAGAATCTAATACTGGTTCATTCTTATCCTAGCTATTTATAAATTTGTTTGAAAAATGAATAAATGTGACTGTTAAAATCTGAAAGTATAAACTGAAACAATGACAGTGGGAATAGAAGAAATGCACTTGAGAGTGATTTTAGTGAAAAGATAAGTAGGACTTG